AAGAAGTATAATTCGGAAATATTCTTTTCTTCTCAATAAAATATTTAGAACCTTTAATTTCATCATATCTTTTACCTTTTGAGCGAGTTTGGTCTATATCTGATAAAGCAACCACTATTTCACTTGTACTCGCATCAAACGCTGCATATCGTATGGGCTTACAATCGTGCATAACTGCATAAATGTCGTTGGATGATTTCGAGGAAATTCAGCACATAATCCAAAATAACATCGACTCCAGGCTGCAAGATCTGGTAAGAACTGTGCAGTAATTACGTTTCAGAAACATTCCCAACAATACCAATTCCGCATGCTTTTGCAATGCCATATGCTAATACTACTTCTCGAAGATCATGGAAAATCCCGGAAGAAATACTTAGGAAGATATGCAAAATATTTCAAAGGAGGATCCTAGTGATCTTTAGAAAGTTACGGAAATAATTGCAAAATTCGATTCATCCTATCACTCCGGAAAAAGCCAGCCAACACTTTCACTGGGAAATTTTCAGATTACACTTTTTTCTTTCCTTCATTCCACATCCATATGCTACCTTTATAACTCCTCCATTTCAAATTTTAATTTATAAAGCGACCAAAGACCACACCAAATTCCGAGCAGCGCAATTGCTAATTAAATTCAAAAACCACAGCAACGAAAAAAAAAATTCCGACAAAAATTTAACGGACCATTGGCGGTCTGTTACATTGCAGGTTTCATCCTGAATTCTTCCCTAAATATCTATGAATGAAGGTGAAGAGGCGGGAAAAGTTCTGAATTTTTGAAACCTCGGACATTTAGAAATCACAAAGCTTTTTTTTTTTGAATTTGGGAATTTTTTTTTTTGTTTTTTGAAATAGAATTTTTGAATTTTTATGATTATACTAATTAAATTGTAAATGATAAGACATGGATGTATTAGAAAATAAATTTTTTATTGAATCATGATCGAATTTTCGAATGTGCTACATTAATCATTCATTTAGCAACTGTTTAAAAAATCTGTTGAGTAAGAAATGATAAGTTGAAAATTTTTCACATAAAGCAAATTACCTATGAAGCATTGATAGTAAGTGATAAGATAAAATGATAATAGTAGTAACTGATCAATTTAACGGATTGTATTTTACATGTTTGCGATGAAATGATTGAAAAGAGTTAGTCAATTTTATTGTATCTTTCTTAGAATAGAACAATGAAAAAGTCGGAAAATGGAGGGAAGAGGGTTTTTTGTTTTTTGTTTTTTTTTCCTTTTTCATATCTTCAACCTATTCTCATTTTATAACAAATCCAAAATCTTCAAACTATTTTAATCGTTTGTTTTTTTTCTTTTGCTTTTTCCTCTTTAAAATACATTTTTTTTTTTTTTTACAAAACAATAAAACAGGTATATGATTTGAATTTGATTTCTTTAAAAGATAAATTGATTTAACCTTATCACATACATTTTATCACTATATCATACATTCTGCATAATTGATAAAGACTTAAAAGTTTGCTGAACATAAAAAAGCTACTAGTTGTTCATTTTCTTTTAAGCGTAGAAAAAAAATTTGTGTACAACAGAAAGAAAAGAATGCAAGAAATTAATATAATACATTGTAGTAATATTGTAATTTCATGCACTAATTGGAATAAATCAAAAGAATTGGCAAAATCTCAATAATTAAATCGTGAATTTTTCCTAAAAAAATTCTGTAATTTAAGGGTATTTCAAATCCTCATACTGTGATTACGGTAGGATGATATTATCCTACCGTACTAATCGTATTGTAAATTTAAATATAGCTAAAGTTATGTTTTTGTCCAACATTGTCGCAAATGACATCAATATCACATGGCCTTGTGAAAAATTGAAAACTTCATTTGCTTTCTTGTGATTGATGAAATGCGTTATGGGAGTAAAACAATACCATAATGTAATTCCATACAGATACTATATAATGCTTATCGATTATGGTAACATTTCAGTGCGAATATAAGCCATAACAAATAAGTTGCGGTTTCATATTCCATTACTGTAACTAAAGTATTACTTAATGTTTGAAAATCATTGAAGTAAATGATTTGCGCTGCCAAATTAATTTGATTATAACAATTTATGCTTTGATAAATTTATCATACATAATTTTTGCAATTTGAATCTATCATTTAAATATAGACCTATGAATAAGGTAGGAAAATGCACCAACATGTACTAATGTCTAGTGAAAAAACCACGTGGTGGTTTAACTTCCAACATTTCCGGATTTTTTTCCATAATTCTTGAAAGTAATTTTCCAATATAATCCTGTAAATCGTTAATTTTTGCATCTTTACGCGCTAATTCAACACGTAAATCATTGATGTTCTTCAATAATTCCTCACGTGACGGATAATGTGAAATCTGAAAATTAAAAAACGATTAATAAAAAATGACTGTAATAATGATGAGAAAAATATACAGAATTGAAATTTGTGAAATAATTAGAATAAAAGATCTAAAGAAAGTCCTACAATCGATTTATCAATGATATATCAGTTAAACATTTATCATTTGTCAGTTGAACAATTTTTTGAAGCAAAAGAAAAATATGTTCACAGATAAGATAAAATATCCTATCAATGCAGAATGCTTTGATCATTCAAAATATTTTTGATAATTTAAAAGAACATCCTAACAAAATATTCTATTATCATTAGAATATTGTTATATATAAATTTTCAAAAAGTAATGTAAAATTTCTTATAAATCAGTATAATTTTTCGTAATTAATTTTACCGATGTTAAATCAGAACCATTGATAACAGTTGAACGTGCGGAACCAAAACCGGATGAAGTAGCACTATTTGGACGTGGAATTATTACTTGAGCTGAAGATTCGAAACCATCAATTTCTCCAGCTGTTAGTACTGGAGATGAATTTAAAGAATTTCGATTTGATGACATTGATGTATGTCGTGAACCAAATAATATATTATCAATTCCTAAAATATAAAATGATTTGCATTTACTATATTAATATAATATAACATAATATTAGTATTGTATAAGAGGAAATTATCGCTTGAATGTAGAAGGAATTTAAAAAAAAAAAAAACGAAAGTACATTTTTGTAAAATTATTTTGTTTCATTTTCTAATTTAACTCTGATTATCACAATTTAACACTGATTATCACATGTAGCTCTGATTATCACAATTTAACACTGATTATCACATGTAACTCTGATTATCACAATTTAACACTGATTATCACATGTAACTCTGATTATCACATTAAAATATTCCTATACGAAATTTTTTTCACAATATCATATATCTTTGAATTTTTCACTCTTTACATATTCGTTAAAATTATGTAACATAGGATTTTTCACATAATCATGGATTTACGAGATTTTTTTACTTTCAAAAAACATGTATTAAGAGATCTTTGGTAAAATTACATATCAGGTGTTTTTTTTTTTTTTACAAAAATATATATCGTAGGATCTTGGATTTTCCACAAAATCATATATCACGGATTTTTCACTTTTTAAACATTTATAAAAATCATGTATCATAAGGAAAGGGAAACATTTGATTTTTCTTTTTTTTTTTTTTTTTGCAAATAATATATGGATTAAATTTTCAGGGATGTATTTTAAATAAGAGAAATGGTATATTTATTTTCTATATTTTTCTCTCTTTTTTTTTTTTTTTTTTGGTAATTTCTTTAATTGTTCATTGTTTTATTAAGACATTTTGAAATTAAATTTGATAAATTTCAACATTATCATTTGAGCCAACTAAAAAATTTCAGTTGAAAATTTTTGTAAGCAAAAAAAAAGGAAGGAAAGCAAATGATAGATTGAAAGCTAAAGAAGCGATAAAAACTGATGTAATATTTGAATTAATAAAGCTGTTACCTAAATTAAAGGTAAATATTCAAATTCTTGAAACTATTTTTTGATATAAAAAAAATATTAAAAATTTAAATCATTTGAAATTTTTTCTTTTTTTTGTTCAAAAAATTCCATTAGATAACTATAAATAGATGTAAAATTTTTTGATAAATTTCTCGTCCGAATATTTTCTTTCAGAATTTTAATAAATTTGAAAATTTAAATTTTACTAAATTTAAATGTTAGATCTATGAAATAAAAAAGTATAAAATAATAAACCTAATAGAGTACCGGTATTTCTTGAACTATATGGTAGTGTTGCAGAACGTGTAGTAGTATCTCGAGCAGCAACTGGTGGTGTTATTAATCCATCACGATTTAAATTCATCGTTGAAACATGATCAGATTTTGGAGTTGCTGGACAAACTTCACAGAGTGAAGAACGACGTTGACCATATTGTGGGAGACTAATTAGTGATGTAGTATCCGGTATATCCTTATTCTTTTTTTTCCAAATCTTATCTTACGTTTCAATGTATCAAGCTTATTAGAACCTAAAGAAAATTTGAAATTAATTAATTATTAGTACAGTAATCATTAACTTTCAACCATATGATAGCTTAAATAATATATGGATGAATGGAAAAAGTGAATGCAGTACCATTCGTATGTTACCGTATTGAATACACTACAGTAACACTCATGCGCTATCGTACTGAATAAAACACAACAACATTCGTATGTTACCGTGTTGGGTGCATTACAGTGATACTCGTGTGCCACCGTATCGAACACAGTACAATAATATTTCGTTATAGCACTGGATACGGTACGGTAACATACGAAAGATAAAGCGTAATGTATAATCGTCTAAGTACAGTAAAAGCAAATCCGGCATATATTTATTAAAACAAATAGTAATTAATATTGCAATTGTCAATTGTCACATCACGCTTATTATAATATTATCGTAACAAATTTTCGGGAAAATTAAACGAAATCCATTTATGTACATGCTTTTCTTTTTTTTTTGAAATTTATTATTTATAAATTAATTGCATAATTTATAATTAAATGAATATTTTAGAAATAAAAATTCAAAACGAATTTTTTAAGAAAAATTAGAAATGTTTTCATTTATTTATTGAATTAATATTTTTCCATTTCATCAAATTTTTTTAAATTAGAAAAAAAAAAGGAATTGTTGGAATTTTTTATTTCTTTTTTTATATTTCATATACTTTTTTTCTGAAAAAAAAGTAATTCATTCATTTAATTAATTATTAAATATAACAAACCATTTGAAATTATAATTTTAAACCTGTTTAAAATAATCAATTTTCCGATAATTAATTATACGATTATACCAAAAAAACGAAAACAAACCGTTTTTTTTTTTCTCATAATATCCTTTTTAAGTTAAAAAAGAAAGGAAACTATTGTAATCTTTCATTATTATTATCACTATATTTTACATATTTTTTTCATAGAAAAAAATTCTTTCATTTAATTAATTTTTAAATGTAATAAGCGATTTAAAATCATAATTCACCAATTTAAAGTTCCGCTCGATAATTATTTAATTTAAAAATAACTAATTCTTGAAATAATTGACAAAAGTAATCAAATAATTAATTGCAGTAATTATTAACACAAAAAAAAAAATAAACCAATCAATTTCCGCATATAATAAACTGTTTGAAATTGTAATTCATTGATTTGAAATTTTATTTGGTAATTATTTATTTCAAAAATTGACGAAAATAATCAAATAATTAATTATTGCTAGTAAAATTATTACTAGTAGTTATTAGTTTAATTAAACAATTAAATAATTAATTATTACTAGTAAAAGGGAAGAAAAAAACAAACAAACCATGTAAAGTATTGATTGAAAATGATGAAGCTGATAAATTTTTGTTGATTGTTGTAGATGGTTTATTGGAAAATTCAAATTTCAAGCATATTTCACCACGATACTTTGTTTGTTGTCCATAATTATCGTATTTACCTTTCTTACATAAACGATACCATGTTGGCATATGTATATGTACCAATGAATGTAACGGTAATTCAATTCCACCAATACAATCAGTTGTACCCAATACAGTACGATGATTAACAGTTATTAGCAATGCCGAATCCAAATCATTTAATGTACTTAAAAATTGGAATTTAATTATGATAATGAAATAAAAAGTAAAAATTTCAATTTATCATACCAATTTGTTTATGATAGAGAAAAAATTTTTATCTTAGTGTTGTCAATTTTTAATTATTAATTATTAATTTTGATTTATTATTATGATTGTCTTTTGTTAACAGTTCCATTTCGTTAAAAAAAGAAATTTTTTTTCTTATCAAATCAAAAGAAAACTAACACAAATTTCGTGGCAATTAAATTTAAATTTTATAATTTAATCAATAATTGTTTGTTCGACTAATTTGTTAATTTACTAAAAACCGGCATAATTCAGCAAAATTCGGCATTGTATTTATTAATGCCAAAATTAATTACGGGAATTTTTTCGAAAATTTCACTCCAGCAATTAATTATCGAGTAATTAACATACAATTCGCATCGTTGATCCCATTTGCAATCAGCTGTTGTCCGGATGACATCCGTTTGTACCTTACTTTTCCAGTTTCCTTTTCCGTTAATTGTCAAATTTACGAATGCTTCCAATTTGTTATGTCCTTTAAGGGACAAACCACGAGCAGAAATTACTGCAATATTAGATAATAAATTATTAAACTTATCCCATTTATTAAGTGCTTGATTACTTTAAATGCTTAAGTATGAGTAATACGACACAGCAATATGACGTGAGTGACATTTTGTAATGGGCACGTCATTTACGTCAAATGCACGGAACAGTTTTGTTATCATTTTAATTGCTCAAGCAATTAAGCTTACGCCTCATTTAACAATTTTATTACCTTTTTCCACTCAAAAATTGAAATTTTCAATTATTCCTCTATCTTTTTTAAAAGAAATCTTACGCAGAGACTATTCGCAATTGCTATAAATCATCCGGAAATTCCGGAAATAGCCGGAAATTCTTATTGCAATAGTAAAAGTGGTAACAGTTATATACCACATTGTTGCATTATTGAAAGAAAAGTTTGTTCAAATGGACTATCATCCAGTAAATTTTGAACTTCTAACCGGTCCACTATCAATAGCACCGTTAAAACTATAAACGGATTTTTCCGGATGTTTAGAAAACGTTGAAAAGATATTGGAATAACTGGGCAAGTATGCAAACCAAAAATGACTATTAGTAATCATTTCGAGTTAAATTCAGAATTCCGATTTCTTCCTCTATTCGGTTTAGCATTTAATCATCAAATAGATAGGGTATGTTACAGTACTAAAATACTAAAACTGAATAAATTAAGTTATTACTTGAAAGGGCTATTATCTCTTCAAATTTAAAAAACTGTTTGAATTAATTATTCAAGAATATTTGCATATATTAATGATGTAATCAAATATATTATACATTGAAATTCCAAAAGTGACCAATGATATCTGTGGCTTTTTTCAAAAAGGACATTTGTTTATTTCAGATTTTTGTCACAGATATTTGTTTATTTCAGGTAAAATATATAAGATATTTATTACCTGTAACAACCAAATTATTGAAATTTGCCATGAATCACTTCGAATTCGGATTTCTTTTTATTGGAGAGTAGTCAAGTAAGCAATCACTAGGTAATAAATATAAATCCTGTAATTTAAATATTAAACAGCAAATTGTGTCACCAGTGATATTTCACTTCTCCAACAAATTGCGCCACTACCGATATTACTTTTTTCAACCTGTACAATATTTTCCAAAAATTTATTATAAATTAAATGTAAATGCAAAATAATGAATTATGGATGTACATGAATGAACAATAAATATATGAAATGAATACAATGATTATGCAAAATAAAAATGAAAATGAATTAAAAAGTAAATCATTAAATATGCACAATTTCTCAATTAATTATACATTTCATTTCAATTTGTTATTAAAAGTTAAATGCAAAATTTATTCAATTTTATTCCTT